GGCGCTTTGGGGACAGCGTGTGTGTGTGTGTGTGTGTCTCTCCGCATAGCGCGCGTGTGTGTGTGTGCACGGCTCTGATCATTGTGTGTTTGCGGAGGGGGCTCTGAGCACAGCGCGTGTGTGTGTGTGTGTGTGTGTGTGTGCACGGCTCTGATCATTGTGTGTTTGCGGGGGGGGGCTCTGAGGACAGGGTGGGTGTGTGTTTGTGTGTCTCCGCATAGCGCGCGCGTGTGTGTGTGTGCACGGCTCTGATCATTGTGTGTTTGCGGAGGGGGCTCTGAGCACAGCGCGCGTGTGTGTGTGTGTGTGTGTATGTGCGGCTCTGATCATTGTGTGTTTGCGGAGGGGGCTCTGAGCACAGCGCGCGTGTGTGTGTGTGTGTGTGTATGTGCGGCTCTGATCATTGTGTGTTTGCGGAGGGGGCTCTGAGCACAGCGCGCGTGTGTGTGTGTGTGTGTGTATGTGCGGCTCTGATCATTGTGTGTTTGCGGAGGGGGCTCTGAGCACAGCGCGCGTGTGTGTGTGTGTGTGTGTGTCTCCCCACCTGTGCTCACTGGCTGGGGGCGTGCAGCCTAGGCCGAGTGTGTCTGTAGTGCACTGGCACACAGCCTGGTGCTAGGTGGGACATGTGTGTGTGTGCGCGCCTGTGCGTGTGCCTGTGTGTGTGTGTGTTTGTGCCTGTCTATGTGTGCGTGCGTGTGTGTGTGTGTGTGTCTCCCCTGGGTCTCAGTGCGGGGCCAGGCGCTGCCCGTGGCCGAGGGCTTGGTGCTGGGGGCACGAGTGGCCTCGGTGCAGAGTGCAAGGGATGGTGCGTGAGCTGAGCGGCGTGGGCGCAGTGTGGGTGCTGAGCGGCGTGGGCGCTGGGGGGGTGCTGTGTGGGGGCTGAGCAGTGTGGGTGCTGAGCAGTGCGGGTGCTGAGCGGCGAGGGCGCTGTGTGGGTGCCGAGCGGTGTGGGTGCTGGGTGGGTGCTGAGCGGCGAGGGCGCTGTGTGGGTGCCGAGCGGTGTGGGTGCTGGGTGGGTGCTGAGCGGCGAGGGCGCTGTGTGGGTGCCGAGCGGTGTGGGTGCTGGGTGGGTGCTGAGCGGCGAGGGCGCTGTGTGGGTGCCGAGCGGTGTGGGTGCTGGGTGGGTGCTGAGCGGCGAGGGCGCTGTGTGGGTGCCGAGCGGTGTGGGTGCTGGGTGGGTGCTGAGCGGCGAGGGCGCTGTGTGGGTGCCGAGCGGTGTGGGTGCTGGGTGGGTGCTGAGCGGCGAGGGCGCTGTGTGGGTGCCGAGCGGTGTGGGTGCTGGGTGGGTGCTGAGCGGCGAGGGCGCTGTGTGGGTGCCGAGCGGTGTGGGTGCTGGGTGGGTGCTGAGCGGCGAGGGCGCTGTGTGGGTGCCGAGCGGTGTGGGTGCTGGGTGGGTGCTGAGCGGCGAGGGCGCTGTGTGGGTGCCGAGCGGTGTGGGTGCTGGGTGGGTGCTGAGCGGCGAGGGCGCTGTGTGGGTGCCGAGCGGTGTGGGTGCTGGGTGGGTGCTGAGCGGCGAGGGCGCTGTGTGGGTGCCGAGCGGTGTGGGTGCTGGGTGGGTGCTGAGCGGCGAGGGCGCTGTGTGGGTGCCGAGCGGTGTGGGTGCTGGGTGGGTGCTGAGCGGCGAGGGCGCTGTGTGGGTGCCGAGCGGTGTGGGTGCTGGGTGGGTGCTGAGCGGCGAGGGCGCTGTGTGGGTGCCGAGCGGTGTGGGTGCTGGGTGGGTGCTGAGCGGCGAGGGCGCTGTGTGGGTGCCGAGCGGTGTGGGTGCTGGGTGGGTGCTGAGCGGCGAGGGCGCTGTGTGGGTGCCGAGCGGTGTGGGTGCTGGGTGGGTGCTGAGCGGCGAGGGCGCTGTGTGGGTGCCGAGCGGTGTGGGTGCTGGGTGGGTGCTGAGCGGCGAGGGCGCTGTGTGGGTGCCGAGCGGTGTGGGTGCTGGGTGGGTGCTGAGCGGCGAGGGCGCTGTGTGGGTGCCGAGCGGTGTGGGTGCTGGGTGGGTGCTGAGCGGCGAGGGCGCTGTGTGGGTGCCGAGCGGTGTGGGTGCTGGGTGGGTGCTGAGCGGCGAGGGCGCTGTGTGGGTGCCGAGCGGTGTGGGTGCTGGGTGGGTGCTGAGCGGCGAGGGCGCTGTGTGGGTGCCGAGCGGTGTGGGTGCTGGGTGGGTGCTGAGCGGCGAGGGCGCTGTGTGGGTGCCGAGCGGTGTGGGTGCTGGGTGGGTGCTGAGCGGCGAGGGCGCTGTGTGGGTGCCGAGCGGTGTGGGTGCTGGGTGGGTGCTGAGCGGCGAGGGCGCTGTGTGGGTGCCGAGCGGTGTGGGTGCTGGGTGGGTGCTGAGCGGCGAGGGCGCTGTGTGGGTGCCGAGCGGTGTGGGTGCTGGGTGGGTGCTGAGCGGCGAGGGCGCTGTGTGGGTGCCGAGCGGTGTGGGTGCTGGGTGGGTGCTGAGCGGCGAGGGCGCTGTGTGGGTGCCGAGCGGTGTGGGTGCTGGGTGGGTGCTGAGCGGCGAGGGCGCTGTGTGGGTGCCGAGCGGTGTGGGTGCTGGGTGGGTGCTGAGCGGCGAGGGCGCTGTGTGGGTGCCGAGCGGTGTGGGTGCTGTGTGGGTGCTGTGCGGCGTGGGCACTGCATGGGCTGGGTGCATTGTGCCCTTCAGGGCAGGAAGCAGCCATCTCTCTGCCCCCTGAAATGGGTAGTTCCAGGACCGGTGGCACCTGCGGGTGGCCTGCTGGGGAGGGCAGCTCTGGAAGGGATGGCAGCCAGCCACAGGGGGCCTGGCCCTCGGGGATTCGTCTGCCAAGGGGATCGCATGGGGTGGGGCGGGCGCGGGGCGGGCAGCCGTGCAGGGAGGGGCCGTGCAGCAGGGAGCTGCGGCTCTGGAGCACACAGATCTCACTGGCTGAGGCACCTCAAGGGCCCTGTGCATCCCAAGCCGCGCCTTGTCTGCCAGCCCCATGGCTTCCCCACACTGAGCTCAGCGGGCCGGCCTTTCCGAGGGGCCCTTCCCGGCAGGCTCCCCTGGTAGCTGGCCCTTTAAATCTGGGCCAGACACCCGGCTGTGCCCGAACAAGGTCATTTTATCCCTGCCCCTTCCGTGCTGGTGCCGGGGCTCAGAGCCTTCCTGGGAGGTGGCTGCAGGCTGGTGCCCGTTGCAGGACGGAGCTCTGGGCCTAGAGCAGGGGCCCGGCGAGCCCCCAGGCTGGGCAGGAGAGACCAGCCTGCGCGTCTCTTGGCAAGTGCAGCTTTCCCCTCAGAGTAGATAGTGCAGGGAACCCCCCGTAAGCCCCCCTGCTTCCTGCGGGGCTGGGAGCCTGAGACGCAGCAATAGCGAGCGAGCGAGTCACGGGAGAGGATGGCGAGCCCAGCCGGAGCTTGCAGTGGGGCAGAGACCCCAGTGCAGCTTGGGCTGCAGTGCACAAAACGGCCCCTGGCACAGCAGTGGCACCGAGCCCGCTGTCTGTGGCCGGGATGTGAGCGACGCTAAGAATATGCCTGGGGCAGTGGAGCAGTGACAGCCAGCAGGGGAGCAGGGGCCGGTGCTGGAGGGAGCCGGCTTAAAATCTGGTTCCCCTAGCACCGTGTCGGGGGGCAGGGGAGGCAGAGGCGCAGCGAGGAACCAGGTGCAGCTCCCAGCCTCCTTGCTCCGCTGCTGCATTTGAAATGGACGGTGGCTCAACGCATGCAGAGCAGAGGCGCAGTGTCTGGACCAGGCGCGCCCTGGCACAGCTGATTTGGGCTCGCGCCCCGTCTCCCGCTGCGCTTCTGTCTCTGAAATGTTCGAAGAGCCCGGTGGCTCACGATACATTTAAAAGGCAGAGCTCCTAGCTGGGAGCCAACCCGCTGCGGCTCTGCGGTTTCCCCCTTATCGACTAGTCGATCGTGACACCGCTGCCACGTTACAGTCACTGCGGGTGACGGGGGCGCAGGCACAGAGAGGAGCAGGGCACCGGCCTAGGGATGAGGAGTGGAGGCCACACGTGCTCAGCAGCGGTGAAAGTAACTTCACGTTTCTTACAGGCGCTGTCCTATTGCAGCCCGGGGCCCTGACGGCTCTTCGGCTGGCCCCAGGGCGCCCGCTGACTGCCCCTCCCATGCTCAGTGCGTGTCCTCTCCGCCCGCGTTAGAGTTTTCTCCTGGTGGCCACCACCGGAGTCGCGGGGCATGCAAGGGTGGGGGGGGTGGGGTGAGCGGTGAAAGTAACTTCACGTTTCTTACAGGCGCTGTCCTATTGCAGCCCGGGGCCCTGACGGCTCTTCGGCTGGCCCCAGGGCGCCCGCTGACTGCCCCTCCCATGCTCAGTGCGTGTCCTCTCCGCCCGCGTTAGAGTTTTCTCCTGGTGGCCACCACCGGAGTCGCGGGGCATGCAAGGGTGGGGGGGGTGGGGTGGAGAGCTGAAGCCTGGGGCCCTCACCTGAATCCCTGTCTCCCCCAAAGAGTCCCGGACGGTGAGCCCCAGCGGGATTTGCATCCCAGACCGACGCACAGAGCTCGCCGCCTCTGGGGCTCCAGGAACAGCTCTGAGCTGGTCGCAGGAGTAGGTTGTTACCCTCCAGCCATGCTGTGTGAGTATGTGGCACCTTGTGGGGAATTGACACGCGCTCTCAGTCTAAGTGTTCTGTTCCTCTCCGGCTCCCGGTCTTCCCCGCGCCTCCCTAAGCGCTCCCCTTTCCACGCTCCAGCCCCCTGGCGCGGTGCGCGCTGAGCCCAGCGGGGAGGGCATGTTGAGCCGGCATCTCCCTCTGTCCCCCTGCAGATGACGGCGAATGGCGGCTTCTCTGTGCTGTATCCGGGCAACCCCCAGCCCGGGGACCTGATTGAGATTTTCCGGCCGGCCTATCAGCACTGGGCTCTGTATCTGGGGGATGGGTACGTCATCAATGTGGCGCCTGTCGGTAAGAGCTGCACCGCGCTGCCGCCTTTGGGGGAGGAGCCGCTTCCTCTCACCGCAGAGCGCATGCGGCGGCTCTCAGACAAAAGGGGGCGAGCTATGGCCGTCCCGGTCCCTCGGAAAGGGCTGGAGTTGGGGACCGTGGGCGCTTTGGGTGTCTTGTGTAGGGCCGTGGTACAGATGGGTCTGGGGGCAGGAAGTGGGGCCCAGTGGCTAAAGCGCCACTGAGTGGCCGTGGGCACATCCCTTAGCTTCACCTCCTGAAAGCTGTAACACTTACCTGGGCCTGGGGCATCTGGTAACATTTGCTACCTGGCCCCAAGATCCCTGGGTGAACGGCAGCGCCCCAGGCTGTGCTGGGCTCTGCCGGTCTGGGCAGGCGGGAGCAGCCGTCCTGTGGCTCTCTGCCCGCCAGGCCCTGTGCACTCTGGGGTGGTGCAGAGCTGTCTGCGGGAGGCCCTGTGCCTCAGGGAGTTCTGCCACGCCCCTGCTGCTCTGCCCCCCGAGGGGGTCTCTCCAGTGCCTCAGTTGTACGAGAGAGGAGCCGGGGTTCCGCAATTATCTGACTTTCCTACCCGATGCGGTGACCCGCGGGCAGTGGCAGCCCCACCCCGACGTGCCCTGGCGCACGTGATGCCCCGCACCTCTCCCTTTCCTGGCGGAGGCTCCTGCATCGAGATCCTTGGCCTAGGACGAGAGGAAAAGCGGCTGGTGTTCCGGAGCGCGCGGGGGGACGGCTCCTTCTCCTGCCCTCTCCCCCGAGGGCCCCCCCTTCCTGTCATCTCGCTCAGCTGGGGGAAGGACTGAGAACCCGCTGGACGTGAGGGGCCACGTTCTGGTCTCCGGGCGCCCTCGGGGCATTGTGCCGGGGAGCCGAGCGTGGCCAGCAGGGCGCGGGTGCCGTGGCCGTGCCGCGTGCAGGCCGGCCGGCTCAGCCTCGTCTCTGCCTGTCCCAGAGGAAGGTGCCGCGTCGTCGCTGGCCAGCGCCAAGTCGGTGTTCAGCCGGAAGGCCCTGGTGAAGATGCAGCTCCTGAAGGACGTGGTGGGGAGCGACAGGTACCGAATCAACAACAAGTACGACGCCGCCTACGCCCCGCTGCCCACGGAGCACATCCTCCGGCGCGCCGAGCTCCTCGTCGGCCAGGAAGTGTCCTACGACCTGCTGGGCAACAACTGCGAGCACTTTGTGACGCTGCTGCGCTACGGGGAGGGGGTCTCCGAGCAGGGGGGTGCCGCGCGGGGGCAGGCTGGTGTCTGAATGCTCGGACGCGCAGCTCCCCTGGCTCCGGGGTGTCCTGCACTGTGTCCGCGCCCCGCCAGCCT